TTAGAGGTTAATCTAAAAAAAGGAGTCAAAAGAACTGATCCATAGATTAAACAACAACTAATATAAGTTAAAATTAAAGTAGACGGATTGCAAAGATGAATAAGTAAAATATGTTTCAAAGGAGAAAACATAAAGGTGAAATTTAAGAATTAAGAGAAAAAATTTCTAGAATTTGTTTATTGCAAATTATATACCTGCTATTTTCTAGTATATATGAAGCAGAAGGAACTCTTATAACAAATTTGGCATACATTTTCATAGCAAAACCTCTGGTACTGTGAACAGAGAAAATAATTGGTTGCAAGGTAAAAGTATGCAAATTAATTGAATGCAAGGTACCTTTTCTGTGCCAAAACCCCAAAGTTGCACAAGTTACAATGCCAGAAAGTAAAAAAGATTATAGAGGAAACAAAAAAATGAAAAATCACCTCTCTCTTGGTCATTTCCACTACGCAGTCATCCCCTTCCAAAAAGGACTCTGCTGCCAGCTTAAGCTGATTCTCAATGTCCTGCAAAAGAAAACACGATTGCTTAGAAAACAAGGTTCGGCTTTTAGGAGATTTTCATATGTAAACTACTGCAGAAAGAACTACTGTAATCTTCAAGTGGTCCCGTTGAAACTTATTGTAGGATGAAAACTATAGACAACAATCAGAGCTAGACGATCGCATTAAATATTTTACAAGACGTTAAAACGCGAAATTTTATGGTGATATGATACCCAGTCGATTGCAGACAATATTACGCAGTGTCATAGTTATAGCACACATTTGAAAAAACCAGCAAGTTCACGGTACAATAAATACTAGAAGATTTGTAGCCTGCACGAGAAATTAAACGGATTGCATGTACTAAAATAAATTCTTACAACATCAGCTAGCCTGATTAAACTCTGTCAGGGGAGCAGTTGTTGGGAGGGTAAAAGAGCCATACGACCCCTAAAATTACAGATATGCTGGGAAAAGTTGGAAATTTTGCTACTTTGTTGGAAATTCAGTAAAATTAGATATTTGGTTTCTCCTAAAAAATAACTCACTCCAACTCAGCTCTACAGTGTTATCTCTAGTCCATTTGAAAATAGAAAAAGAAATCAAAGGACAACTACCTTTGCACTGTATGTCTTGATCGGCGGACAACTCTTGGCACCACATACCAGGGCAAAATGGATTTTTGGCTCAGGTTCCTCCAAGGCAACTTGCAAGCGCGGGTCGTTCTTGGAGAACGGTCTCCGGAAAGAGCCGAGTGGTTTTCGATTCGATCTTAGGATGCCATTCTCGATTTCATTCAGTGAGTACACTTGACCACCGATGACGTAACTAACCACGTTGAAAAACTACCGAAGACAAATTCAATGTCTAAGTGATTCGCTGATGCAAATATTGAAATAAATATCACCACTTTCTTTAAAAAGGTAGCATTACTTTGATGACCTTTGCAGAATTGTATGTTATTTCTCAAGTTCAAAAGTATTGCTATGAAAAAAGTTCTAAAAAGGGTGGCATAAACATATCTAAAGATATTGAAGAGCATAACGAGGCTATAGAGGTTTGAGAAGGATAAATTACCATTTTGACAAGTTTGCCGTACAGAGTTACAAAGAAAGGTTTCCAAATAAAAGAAGCATGCGAGAATTAATAATCAAGATGTTCTGTTTATTCTTGCTTAACATCTTCTTAATAGCACAGAGGTCCAAAACCATACCTCTTCTGTGCACATCTTTTGAAGCAGAAAACAATCTAGGCGCCTTACCTTGTATCTTTGCCAGAGATTTGTGGGTGGCCCACGGACAACAAACGCATGAATAACCAACGCATTGTAAACATTGATGAAGAAGGCAAGTTTCTCTTCCCGTGATGCATTTTCCACATTAACTCGCTTCAGCTCTGCGGTGTGTTTCTGGTACTGTTTAAACTCTGCACTTTCACCTATTGCCTTGTAGTCAACTTTCTACAAAATGGAAAGAGCACAATGTGTTTACATTCAAAACGGCGCGAAAATGTGGGAAGATTGCAGTTATGCTACAGTAGTCTTCGTCTGAGACTCATCAAGGATATTGAACTTTGTCTAATGACAAACTTCACGATCAGTTTTTTAAATTGGCTGTGATGCAAGGTAAGTTGAAAACTGCTTGTAAACGAATTAAAAGGACAATTCTTTTGGGGAGATAAAAGAGAGAAATTCTTCTAATATGTAAGGCAACCCCCGTTATAGAGTTAAGGAGCATGCTTAATATGAATGAAGTTCCATGCACGGATTTTACTCCAAGACGCAGGATACCTTACCCATTAAAAGATCTTTTCTTATCAGCTCTGCTAATTGCTGCCAACAATACAATCAAAATATTGATGATCAAACTCTTTTTGATTACGAAACTTAAGTGTTTGGTAAAGGTATGTCAAAGTGCTTGCCGACAGTCAACACATCTACTTCTCCTTAAATTACTTATGAATTTCAAGCTTTCAAACCAGATTAAAAAGCGTTCATAAAAAGCAACAAGCTCCAAATATCTCAAAAGTTGTCACGCTACTGGATGCTCGAGCTAGTTTCCATTTAATTTCCGCTTTATAATCAATCATACGACACTAACTGATAATATATTTGCTTGCTGTCGATGATCGAGCTTGAATTTCGACTATTTCAACGACCCATGACTTTTGAACTATTACCTTTAGACTTTAATGCATATGATTCACTAAAAACAAAATAAAATAACTGCAAAAGCTGCTAGTCAGTGTCCAAATAAATAACACATTAATTGATATCAACGATCGACCTATCACTTATGCGTCATGACTTTTGCAGTATCACCTTCGATCTGCAAGCGATTGGTTAATCCTCTAACAAAATAGTGTATAGAACACAACACAATTCGGAGAAATTTAAGCTTACTTTGCCACCGGCTGACAAATGAGAGTTGTATATCGACAATATCAGCTTTCTCAAATCTTCACCAACTTCAGCAGCTAAATTGAAAAAAACAGATTTTAATCTAAACACAATTCAAGAAATAACTTAAAAAAGTTAAGAAATAAACTAACAATTCAAGAGCACACGTTGAAGAAACACACAATACCTCACTGGCATGGGCGTCTCTGACTGGAGGAGTGGCGGTGAAAACCAATGAGATGTGATGAAATATTATACCTACTTAAGATAAATCTAGTTTAAATTTGAAGATATACCCCAAGAAGGCTTTTAAGAACCTTAAATTAAGAATAACGCGTACAATTAATACAAGCTTGGCATCTACGGAAATAGCAAGAATTAAAGCAATGTGTGTGTGTGGCATAGCTGTAACCCAGAACCCAGTTTCAAAGGAAAGATAAATTTTATTTGTTACAGTTGGAAAGCTGAACCATCTTTGGGTTGGTATGAATAATTTAAAAATCATCAGAGACAGTAACCCAAAGATTATGTTTATACCAGACATACAAGTGGGATAGCTGCTTTCTATCTTAAGTAAATCAATCAAATAATAACTCGATTATCCTGCTGTTTATTAAGATCATATCAAGAGCAAAAGCCTCTACATTTATGCGTTCCAGTAAAACTATCCTTAAATCCTGCTATACTTGACCCAGCAATTAAAGCAGGCAAACTTTCGTCTCTACCTTTTTTGATTGGCCGCTCGGGAAGACTCTCATAATTAGCATTCAAAGGAATAGCTAAAAAGAATCTCTGGTGCTTCAAAAAGAGCCAGATCGTTAAGATCAGTTTGTATATGACCTTGATGAGCTTGGTGATGAAGGATACAACATTGCATACACTGTATGCGATACCTGACAAGCGTTAAGGAAATGATACAAAATTATTTTCAATCATGCTTTAAGTCAAACAAAGCAAAAAGGTCCCGTTAGGTTGGGAATAAAATCTTACTATAGGTGTGGGAAGTGAGCGAAATTGCTTGAAAATGATGCTGATAAGAGAGAGGCCTTTGTATAATGTGGTTTTTTTGACATCATCAAAGCAGAAAAATACTTCTGAGTTGCAAGAACCCCTGAGTCATGAAGGGCTGAGCGTCGGGGTGGAACTTTTGTGGGTCCTAAGCGCACCGTGGAATTCCCACTAGAAGAATTCGTTAAGTTTCTGAGAAATTCAAGCTCTATCAAGAAAAATGTTTTCTTGATATTTCTTGACAGGGTATTTTGGCCCCTTCATGTTTTTAAACCCCTCTCGCCCCAAGTGTATCTCCTAATTTCATGATAAGGGCTTTAAAAGATAAAGCAATTAACATCTATTCTCGTTGGCATGATCCTTATAAAAGTTAAAAACGTTTGTGATATAATGTTATGTTTTCGTCGCTGCTATGAGCCTTTCAAAAACATATAGATCTCTTGTTTTAAAAAATTGCCTAGACATTTGAAAGCCTTTTTATATAGGATACTTCAGGTAGAAAGGATTAGAGGTTTGCACTACCTTTACTGACTATAGTTTAAGCTGCTAAATGATACCAGCAATGTGGAGTGGACATTGCTTCTCGACCATAGGTTAAAAAATTCCCAGAAATTCTACTTCCTCGTTTCCTGATAACTAAAACACAAACGCGTGCACTGACGATTGAAGGGGCAATCAAATTAACGCCAAAAGCTGAAGAAGAGGGAAAGAAGTCCTATGCACGTACCGTCTCTTGGTTCACAATCTGAGACAATGTCAGAATTGAGTGCGTTTGTCTGGTCGTCCTCCAGGAATCTGTATATAGTATCATCATCTCGAAACTCTATTTGCCCTTTCTCTTTTACAGACTTCCCAAAATGCTTCTCAACTAACTGCTTACACATGGCAATGGCATGTCCACGATCTAAAAAGAAATGGTATTTTCAGCACTTGGAACTGGTGATGAAGCAAGTAAAAAAGGTGAAAGCTATCACCATAATTACCTACACCGTTAAACCTGCATGATCTGTCCGTTTCAGGGCGATCGAAGATACTTAAATTCATCGAGTCATGATAAAAGGAAGGGGTATAAAGAAAAAAATTGATTTTTGTCAAAAGTCAGTCGAAAACACTCGCCTAAAACATATAAAAACTACAATGATTATACCAAAAGTAAATGATCTCCTGCAATGGCGTCTATTGACAATATATCTATTCGGGTAATGGCTCCATGCAATTTCGAAAGTTAGGCGGGCAAGGGCAAATTAAAGTCATAACCCCCTTTGTTGTCAGGGGCGCTGGTACATAGAGGCTTCTCAATCATTTCATTTGAAAGGCTTGATTTGAATCTATTTAATTTATAGGCTATCTCAACAAGGCAACGACATGCTGGCAAACATTTTATTTTGATTGCAAAAAACAAATATCGGGACAAGTGACTTTGTCTGTTCTTTGCAAGTAGCCATTCTTTAGGAATTTGCGATGCTGGGGCTTCTCATTGTACGGAAAAATTGGGGCCCAAAGCAAAGTCAGTACATTTACTTTTAAACTAGGCTAGGTTTATAAGAATATTGCTCCCTAAAACTATTAAAATTAGCTTAGAATATCAGCCTTATTCTCGACATCTAGAGTTAATTTAAAGTAAAATAGGTACAGAGACTCATGACAACTGAAATAAAACCACATACCTAAATTCTTCGTCTGCACAAGAAAACTGACAGCGTCTTTGCCATAAAATGAGTTTTTGAATGTTTTCAGTCCACTTCGGATATCTTTAACAATCCCACTCTCTTGAAGCTCTTTCTTCAAATACGAATATTCGTCCAGTTCGCACGTAAATTCGAATGAATCTGTAAAACGAATACATCGGTGATTAGCATGCCTCGAGTCCATCATTACACTGAGTCATCAATGTTGACCCTAGGTTAGGCCTCCACTTAAAAGACCTAGCAAACTCGAGTAAGGTACAGATAACACCAACATCTATTGTTTTTCCCGCTAATAAGGAAGTCAATTTGTTAAATATTTTTGCTGTCGGTGGCCTTTGATAGATGTGTTCCCGTGGATGACAAACAAGCAAAAGCTAGAATCAAATATGGTGACACAGAAAAGGGCTGTGTTGGGATTAGGTAAAAGATTATAGCAACTATCTGGGAAAAAAGGATTTCCCTTATATCTAGAGAAGAAAAATTGACCTTTTTTAGAACAGTCTTAAGATGAATTTATCAGTGAGGTTATCAATTATGTATCAAACAGATAGACGCACTTGCACAAATAGAAAGTACACATGTTTGAGGAACAAATACTTTTTAATGCTAAGGAAAATATTAAAAATTATTTTTCAGAGGTTTAATGCGTTGTAATCAAGACATCGAACAAGATTACTGAGTATCAAGATTAATATGCAAGCCCTTGTGCAAAAGATAAAAATGTGCAAAGTATAAAGATAAATTTAAGCTTTCTCAAAAAAACTGGTTTGAAGACATCAGAAATCACAAATTCTAGGGATACGAAATAATCTTCACACCATCAGAATCACTTCCCTCCTTGTCCACAGACTTCAAAAATGCTGCTGGAGAGTCTTCTGGTGCTTCGTTTTCTGTAACGTCATCAATGAGACCTTTAAGCTCCTCTTCTGGCTAAAATTGACAAATAAAAAATTAGTCCTGACAAATAGAGTTCTTTATTTGGAGTAACATTTTTAGGATTTTGACACAAAGAAATACCTGTGAATATGTAGTGTGTATATAAGTTTTCATTTCACTTTTCCTTCAGTTATTATTTTGAACAAGTCATACAGAGTAAAGGCAACATCAGCATTCAAACTTTCTTGATCATCATCAGTTTACAGTCTCTTTACAGGATAAAAATAACAGTGAGAAGGCAGACACAAATTAAATTTGCTTGTTAGTTTGATACCAAGCTTGGTGGTCATCAGAAAACCTTTCCTGTCAACTGATTGGTTTCTTTGAAAATTCATTTTTTACAAGGCAGCTTAACAGATACAAAATTTCCAAAACATTTCTGTATCATTAATGCTGGGGGAGCATATGACTGTAGCCATAAAGATTCTGAATGAATAACCTAAGTTTATATATACTTTGTTGTATAGTACAGGCAGGATTGCCAGCAGGAGAGGGTAGCTTAGGATTCCACAGGGCCCAGGGCTCGTTCCTGGGCCCGTAATTATTTGAATTTATATTAGTTTTCATATACTGGAATCTTTATTTTTTGTTGTCAAGCAAGAGCCAATCATGCATTAATTGCCCTAAGGCCTGGCTTTTCTCTTGGCAGTCCTGAGTACAGGAATGTTTTGAAGTTGCAACTTTAAGTTTCATGTTTAAAGCAATCATCAGGCATCGTGTACAGCTTTGGCTATACAACATCAAACACTTAATGACAGATTGGTTAAAATAGTAATTATAATGGAATATAATGTATATATTTGTAGTCTAACACCCTTAGCAAGAGAGACTTTGAACAAAAAGGTGCAAAGGGATTTTTAAACCAAAACAGTAAATTATTGGGGGAATGACTATGTATCAAAAATACCCTTGGTCCCTAAAGCAACAAAACAGCAAAAAAACTTACCATGTTATTAAAATCACTCCATCCACCTATATGCTTGCCATTAAAAAATATTTGTGGTACAGTCTTTTTTCCAGTCTTTTCTATCATAATCTTTCTGGCATCTTTATATCGATCTAAATTAATGTCAATAAATGGCAATCCAAGTTCTTCAAACTTTCCTTTTGCTCTGATGCAAAATGGACAACCAACAATAGAGAAAATTGTAACTTCTCCTTTCAGTTCGTGCATTGTTAAACCTTAAAACTGAAACAGAAGTAAAAAAAAAGTTATTCTAAGTTTAACAAAACACTATATTGTACTAAATTTGCAGGATTATTGATCAGGTCATTTAACTTACAGTGCAAAATAATTTTAAATCATCCCCCACAATACAATGATTTCATGTGCTGCTGCTGAAAACATCCAACTTACTGGAAACAAAATAATTTTTTTTCTAATGTAGATGTTTTCATTGCTGTGTTAAAGTGCCTGTGACATGATTTTTGTACTTTTGGGTTTATATATCTATTCTTATGTAAAAAGGCCTGTTATTTTCATTTCTGAGGTTAGTTTTATGTTTCGTGAGAAATGAAGGAGTTATTGGCGATCTTCTTCGCCAAAATTCGCCATCTTGTTTTTCAGAATGAGTAGACAGTGACGTCACGGGAGGGACCTGATCGCCTCCTCCTTCGAGTTTTTGTATCGTAGTCAATGAGGGAAATCTAACAGGTCCAAGATGAGCGATATTTCCAGAGAAAGTAGTGGCAGCGAGGATGAGATTTTTGAAGGTAGCGCTTACATTGTTACAATAACGAGTTCCTCCCATGACGTCACTAGAGAACGGCGAATGATGATAAAGCGACTTGGCTAGGCCGCACTATTTTGCTTAATTTCAATATCAAAACGCTTTTATTTCAAAAAAAGTTCAGATCTACTATAAGACCAGTGCAACACTTCAATTAAGAGAATAAAAAAAATCATGTCACAGGCACTTTAAATTACTCTAGAAGATAAATAAAGCATGTTTCTTAAATTTTGTGACCTTTTCCTTCTAAATAAAAGATAATATATCTGAAATATCAAATTCTGTACTTTTTCAAAATAATTTTCTTCCTGTTTGTTTGAAAAAAAGTTTTGGTATACCAAATGAAAGCTCTAGCAAATCATCTAATCTGCATGTGATTACACTCAACTGATTGGTTAGTTGCACTCAACATCTCATTATCATAAGAACAGACACACAGCACACAGACCTACAGCACACAGGCTAAATCCCACCTGTCAGCCAGCTTTTTGTGGCCCTTATACCTTCAGAATTGAAAATTCAGTTGTCCGGTAGACAATCCATCATTTGTCTGTATGACTGTTAGCTTCTCAAATTTTGTATCATATGCACATGCACAGTTAAAATCAATGTCTGTGTTTTCACACAGCATAACATATTCTCGGGTAAAACTTGATGGCACTTATGGGAATTGGCTGCTATCAAATATTTGTTTGATCAATGTGAAATACTTTGTATCTCTTGTACTGGAGTTCATTCCCAAACAAAAATGATGGAAGCCTCTACAATCATTTGTATCTGGAAGCAGCTTAAAGCTTATCAGTTTTAAATTATCCATAATTTCAGAAAATGGGCGTGTAGATGCATGCATTTGTTAGATAGGAGATAGGAAGGAAACATCTTATCTGGCAAGATAGCCAGATCTGGCATACAGTTCTGCATTGATATGCTGATGGTTTTTCGCTGAAAGATGCTTTCTGCTCAGTAATTCCTCGTTTAACTCCCTTCTTCATGGCATGAAATCTTGAAAATTTGGCTAGCGAGTTAAAAAGGTTGTCTCTCTCTGGAGTAAGCCAAGAGGAGAGTAAGGAAATTATAAAATTAAAAGGCATTAGGCACAGGTAAAAGTGGCTTACAGCCACTCGCCCACTGGTGTTTGACCAATCAAATTCCGGATAGAGAAAAACATGTGAACAGTTTCGGTTTTTTGCAAATAAGGAAAACCCTATAGCAGCCCACAGTAGTTTCAGGTGAGTAGCTTCAAGTTCCTTTCATGCGCACATGCTCTTATCAATTTGGCCTAATTTGGATTTGCTGTACTTATACATGTCAAATGCTTTTAACTGGACACTGTCAAAAGTTTGGTTACCTAAGTTGGCAGTTGTTTTACAATAATTTTTGTCTAACATCTTAAAGCTTGCTGGCATTTACAGCATCACTGATAGGTTTATATTAATGTCTGAAAATAAAAAGAAATTATAGAGGGTTGTAGGCTTTGATGATTTTCTTGCATTACAGATAATGCCTTCACCTTCTTTGTGGTTAGGGGCAACACATACGAGTAGGGGATTCTTAAAAAGGGGAAATCATTATTGAAGATAGAGGCAATTCCATAGCCTTTTTCATTGCATAGCCATTTTTAAGCATAAACTTCAATTCATTACATAGCATTATCATGAAATCAACTTAGGAAGGAATACGTTTGTTTATATAGAAATGAGGACAAAAGCCGATTGATTGAAACAATAGAAAGGCACTAGGGGTGGAGGGGCAAATTGCCCAAATCAATTCAAAACAAAATTTGTCATAATCAAACCACAAGGCGGGTAATATTTTGGTAAATATATTTATTTGTAGGTGTAACTCGACTTCAAATCGAAGTTAAAGGGAGGGTTTTATTGCAAAAAGGACACAGGATCACGTCACGAACTCAGGCTTTGTTGGCATCAAAAGTACATACTTGTTAATATTGAATTTCCTTATTTCAATTTATGAAATTTCTACGATCTCGAATCTACCCTAGAAAGAACTCGAACTTGAAAATGTCAAAGGTAGCGAACGTCGAAATGAACCGTAGAAACAGATTTACAGTTAGATAAAAAGTTTTGTGCAGGCTTGAATTAAATACCAGGAAGCTGGAAGAAGAAGCGCTGATAAGCAACTATATAAGAAAGCCGGTAAAATATGCTTCACCTTCGCTGATAATCCAAACAAAAGTCCACTGCGTTTCGTTCTTCTTTCCCTCTGGAAATGTCTTGTACACCTTGTGAAATTGCTAGCAGTATGGAATATTAGACCACGTGTAGCAGCGTATTTATGTTATTTTTACTGCTAGCTGCATGTTACTGCATGATTCAGCAAACTTTTTGAATGGGGCTTCTTTCAAACCTTTGTACTTCACGAGTTCTAGATTGTGAATAATATATCCGCTCCTCCTCCGTTGCAACATACTCCGCACAATTTTTACATCATAATTTTGCGGAATAGGAATCATAATTTATTTCTGAGAGGCACATCCTCGTCATTTTTCTGTAAGGTTAACCCAGGGAACAACAATAACTCAAGGACATATGTTATTTTCAAAATTCAAGAAATTTTGCGATCCTTCGAGCTACTCTTGAAATACTTTCGAGCTACTTTTGAGCTATAAAATAGCTGGCAAGAATATGTGGAAATTTTCTTCAAAAGAATGCGTCTTTTGCCTCTTCGTGTTCTGGTTTTCTTAATAATGCTAATAATTCGCTTCTTTCCTTAAGCATGGAATTGAGTCTTGCCAAAATCTTTCACACCAAACCACTATTTTTTCCGCCAACGAAAAACGAAAATTACTAGGGTAATTGCTTTAAAAAAATTTACACCCCATTCAGGCGCCAAATTTCCCGCATAATCAATCACAAGACAATCTCCTTCCGGGAGCAATCTTCGTCACCAATTGAAAATGCATATGTTTGCAACAAAATATTAGCTTTAAATCTATTTTCCCATATATACTACACATAGCAGAGACTTCTGCCTTGCACAAATCATTGAAAACCCCTCATTTTTTTCTGCATAAATAGCAGAGTTATAAAGCGATCCTCCACTAAGAAATTTCTTTCACAATTATTCATATTATTCCTCGTTTCGTATTTCTATATTCTATAAATTTTAGTTATTGGTGTATTAACTTTGTGTAATATTGAGTTGTAGATATACTCTGTTCAGGACACAAGAGATTGAAACTGCATTCACTTATATATGGAATTACACGGGCGTAGCGGACGCTAAACGTTAAGAGGGCTTAGTATGAATCTTGCCAAAATGTTGCTTCATTAAAACACAACTGACTGGGTGGTGCATGAAATGCGACATAAACTGACTGATTAGGGGGGCAATAGGAAAAAAAAGTAGGAAAAGAAGGACTTAACTGCGATTTTTAATATTCTTTCTGCATGTATACACGACCAAATGGCAACTTTTAACAGATCTGTTGATATGTTATCCAGAGGCAACGTGCTATGAAAATAAAACGGATGACCTCGTAAAAACTTACCAAAAGGAACATCAAAACGGATTACTTTTCAGCAGTAACAAATTGAGTCCAGACCCTCTGAACCCCCCAGCATTACACCAGTGATTTTATGCAACCAGTCCTTTGGTTTTTTGGTGTTTCCTTGGGAAAATACTTAATAAATGTCTATTCTTTTAAGCTGTAATATACTCATATTTCTAGCATTTCATTATTGTACACTTGTATTCGGCTTGAATTCTCATCTGAAATTTCACTGAATTATTCCTGAATCAAATTCAGCCCATGGAATAGACAAAAATGAAAAACACCGACAATATTTTCAAAACGATTTTAACATTAAATAAATTGTTTTACTCTTTCATTTATACTGGATATTCTGATATGGTTAAAGAAACAATGTTTTAAATGATGATAGATCTCATTACATTTGCACTACAACATGATGACACGTGTGTGTTTTATTGTTTATTTCTGCTACAGTTCTTTTACTCAGACTTATCTCAAACTAGTTAGTTGTTCTTTAATATTCTACAAAACTTTTTTATCACTGCCTCTAGGCCTTGAGACAAGGCGTGAACTCATTTAAAGCCAGCCTTTACGAAGGTAAGATATGATAGAATGAGTATGATTAAAAATAGTTATGATCAATGACATGGACTTGGCCTATGACTAGGGCTATTGAATAACAGTAATTGATATCGAAAATACATTAAACCCCGAAATGTAGCAGACACAGGGGCGCAGGAGACACAGGGGCGCAGGAGACACAGGGGGACAGGAGACACAGGGGCACAGGATACATAGATGCAGCTCCCCAAAGTATTCAAGTTTATCGAAATTGTTCTCAATGAAGCAACAATATATCGGTAAAACCCATACCGAGCCCCCCCTCCCCTAACCGTTAAGCTTCTGCTACGCCAACGATTTCCCCTACTAGAGGAGATATTAATAGAGTTAAATAAACAGCCTTTGGTAAATTGTATTTTCACGTAAAGCAAAAACTCAGATAAAAGTATTTGAGACAAGCATTTCGTACAAATTCAAAACCAAAATAAATCAATATATTAAACAGATATTCCTGTATAGACAGGCTTCAAATGGTTTGAAGACAAGGGAAAGAGATTCCAAAATTCATCTATTAGCCGTTACTATCGAATGTTAATTTCTTTTAAGACATAAATATATAAAGATAACCATTAAAAATGTCCTGGAAACTATAACCCTGTTAAAATTCCATTGAATATGTTAAATGTGCGAAGGCCGTTTGAAGCCAGGGAGCTTATTAATTGGGGTGCCTTTTCTGATTATCATACTAAACGTTAAAGGCAGCCTTGGTTAGAATCTATAGTAAACATCAGTTTGAATAATGAATACAAAACAGTACATTAACTTTTCAGACAGCGACTTGAAGAAAATCAGAGGAGAAGATAATAATTGTCGTTGGCTGCTTTATTCCCAATCTTCCCAGTCATCATCATCATCCTAAAATGAAAAACAACCATGTCACAATTGAATCCCATTTTTTTATCTCAATTCTTCTCATCGTGTCATAAGATATCTTTCCAATTTTTTTAGTGTTTAGGCTGGCCATTAAAAAAACTGCATACATTTCAAGGTTAGGAAATTAAACAATCTCTGCGTAAATAGACCACAAATGATTGACATATTCACAAGCACAGAATCGAAACCAACATCACAGCACAGAATCAAACTACCACATGATACACTTTTAGAAAGAAGTTAGAAGAAATACTAGGCAATCAAATTGAGAAGATCAAATAAGACCTAGTTGAAAAGTATTCGCATGGAGATAGAAGTGCTACATTTGCCAAAACCAAGCTTACTGCCTCTAGCTTAAGCTCTCGAGCCTTGACCATTTTGACATCAGACTTTACCAATCTCAAATTTTCTAGACCCCAACCCACACTTTTACACCCTCGCAGCTCTTTCCTATACGGTTTCCCCCAAAACCTTTTTCCAAGTCTAAGTTTCAGGTATTCTGATCCAGTTGTCTTCATCCTTATAGCCCCGCCTCGGGATCAGCTCTTCTCTCAAATCTATGGATGCCTGGTATTGATGTTTTATAACTGCAGCCTATCTCACCCAATTTTTGGGTTCATCTTCTCGGCTCCAATAGCCCTTAGACTTTTCACCCCACGGCCCTCAGCTCTGGGCTATCATTCAGCAACTATTTCCACCCAAAATGCCTAAAACGTCTCCTCATTAGGCACCTGGATTCTGACTATATGCATTTAATCTATCTGCCCTGTGAAACGCTGTCTAAAACAGTGCAAACTACAAGGATATCAGGCCAAAAGACTGCCACTAAATGCGGCTGGACGACACTCATATTCTATTTTAGGAAACAACACTCAAAGAGAATCGTGCTTTTATGATTATTTCACGGTATATGACCCAGAAGAAAATCTTCTTGGGAAACAATTCACCAGTGACCATTGCTGTTACTGAATATAGATGAAAGAGAAGCGAGTTTTCCAGCCATAAATTATTGATGATTCAGTCTAAACAGATATTCGGGGTAGAATAAAGGTTGTTTCGAGTTGAGGAAGTCATTAATATTTGAACAAAAATCTTGACTCTGCCAAGATCTCTAACAAAATTACAAAAATAGAGTGTTGTTAACGACACAGTGTGGGAAGTTTGCGAAAGGAGATGCAGAACGTTAGCAACATAACTAAAATTCAAAGCTCCTTATAAGGATTTTGAAAAAAAATCTATAAAAATAAAAAATATTTGCCAAAAATACAAAAAAGAGCGACTTCAATTCGTGAACTTGAAGACAATGGACCGAAGGCATCCCAAGGTGGCTAGCATAATCTGTTTTTCACTGCTAATTACCGAAAAATGAACTGAACTGAAAAACTGAATATGAATTGAAAAGCTGAACACCAACAACTGAACACGAGTTGAAAACAACTGAATACGAATTGAAAACAACTGAGCACGAGCTAAACAACCGAACACAAACAACTGAACACGAACAGCTGAACACGAACAGCTGAACACGAACAGCTGAACACGAACAGCTGAACACGAACAGCTGAACACGATCAGCTGAGCAAGAGCAGTACATGATTCTTGATGATGTTTAACTGACTAATTATATCTATTCTTGAACTACAAACGGTACACGACCAGCGTACCTGGACGCATGCCTACAAAATGCAAAACAATTACTATAGGCAAAATCAATATTCTGTATAATGAGACTAAAATCGTACCTGAAAAGAGTTTGATAAACACATTATTTACGATAATACCGCTTCGATTAGCCAACCTAATAATCCCCCTCTTTTAACACTAACCCTGCCATTTAGGTAGGCATGAAAGGCAAGAGCTGAAGAAAACACAAGACCCTAACTCTGAGTTTAAACTGACCAACATACCTACACACATTACGTAATACGATGGAAAGGAACCTAAATCTACGTCTGTCCTTCTACAACGACAAAAGACCATACACATCCAACGTTATTAACCAACCGTACCTATTTAATGTAGTGGATAAAGCAGCTGCCCTTCTCCCAAATACTAACAGTCTGTCTGTCAATTATATACAGAAAAATTGCTGTTACAATGTCACCTAACCATACTTTGGACACCGAGCAATTGGCATTGTGTTTTCATACTTTTAATTTCTCTTGATAGTTAGGCAAATATCATACAAGCAACATTCAAAACGTACTTTCTAATCTCATGCATCGTTAAATAGAACCAAAATTTTTCCTTAGGGAAAAGCGGGGTGACAAAATTCACCTTTGAAAACTGAAGATGGTGTTTCAATATATGTGGCTGAAGATGTTGTTTCAATATATGTGACAGGGATTGTACCTAAAGTTTTAGAACAAAGGTGCCAAGTGGCAATCCTTAGACAATATCAGTGGACAATATTAGTTAATATCATATTAGCTAATATTAGTAAATATTAACATATGTTGCTTACATCTAGGTCCCCTGATTTGCTCTTTATCTTCTCCATGATCTTTTGCAACTCCTCTTCGTTTATATCTTCATCTAAATCGAGATCACCATCTTCATTATCATCGTCATCCATGCTCTTGCATTCGATTTTCTCAACCAGCACTGCACTAGACGAGCTGCTGCCCGAGTTTCGATTTGATTCTAAGGTTTCGAAAATAGTGAATAATCAAAAACTTCGCAAAACCTGAATATTGAAAACAAAATCCTAGACCCTCCCTTGATTAAAGTAATTAATCCTAAATAAATCAGATCCGATCCTAAATAAATCAGATTAAATCTATTTAGTACATGCAAACAAATGGAAGTAAGGTATATTAGAACAACTATTGGATGGAAATATAAAAATTTGGGTTACTTGCCATTGTGAGGAAGAGTCCGTTCTCCATATGGAGAGATATTGCCTCGATAGCAATATTTGTTACCTAATATATCTGTATATTAAAGCATACTGAACATCTTGAAAAATATAAATAAAATTTACCCTGGCAATATATTTGGCTGCTGCTAAATAAGCCCCAACTTTCGAATAAGCCCCCACCCTGAAATATTTCTTTGCGAAATAAGCCTCCGTGGGCTTTTTCAAGGACTTATGACATATGGCAATTCTTCAATGTTGAGATAAAACACCGTTATGTTAAACAAAAAAGCAAGGCAAGTTCTGCTTAAGGCATGAACAAACGCTATTTTAATTCTTTGCATTCTAATTTTTGAATGCATTGTTGTTAATAAACATATTAAATCCCACAGTTAAAGGGAACACATTTTAGTAGATGCTATCAAGATACCTGGGCTTTTCGTGAGTTCAGAATCCGATTCTTTTCCATTGATAAACTTTTCCTTTTTCGACTTGCGAACACGAATTTCATCATCTACGCTGATCCATGAACCCGTACTGGCAGTCTCGGAATGATCTAGCCTCGTTTCATATGCACCTAGCAACGCAATAGCTTGCATTTTTTGAAAATATACTTGGAATCAAAATAGGACATCTGATGCTATCATATGTTATTCAGCTTTATCGCTGATAAAGGATTTCCTTAAACTTAATTCCAAACTGTTTATCTTTGAAAAAATCTGCTTTATTTAATGTAAAATACCAGGGCAAACGTATTGCAACACGATGAAAGTGCTGCTAAATGATTTTGACTTCAGGTTTGAAGAATTCTTACTCAGGAATGAGGAAGTCGCAATACATGTAAAAACTTTGCAAGAACATATGCTTAAGTTTACAAATGTATTACTCTTCAATAGAAAAGTGCCGCAATATAAACAAGTCTCTTTCATTTAAAGTGCCACTGAACTGGAAAAATCAATTTTTTTTTTATTGATGTTCTAAGTCAAGTCGGTGCTCCTGAATCCGATGCTGAAGTTCGCTTTTCGGAATTGTGAAGTGTTTTGAAGCTACAACGCTTCAAAGTTGCGATTTTCAAGACTTTTTGTGCGAAAGTTTGTGCGCGGTCTGTGAGGAATTTCAGGAATGTGTGACGCATTAACGTTTATAAGTCGCGGAAGTGATGCGGGCTCCAGTACTGAAGACTGTATTTCGAGTGCGATAAAAAACCAAAAAAACGTGAAGTGGATGGAAATAGTGCGATACTTGTGCTCTAAATATCACTAGCTATCTAACTACAAGACATGTGCAAGGTATTTTCTTGTGAAAATTTCGATCCCATATGAAAAAAGCAAACTTTTTGCGTGCAGTTCTTACGAAGACTTCATGCCGATCATTTACCTTTTGTGAATTATTGAGCGTGTCGAATAAGAATGCTTTTACGAACAGCTTAACTAATTATGAATAAAAGTGAGCAAACTGATCAAGGGAAAAAGTTGATCTATTATAGAACCACACAAATTGCACATTTTTCGGCGCTTTTCCCACTTTCCAACTTGCGTTGCCACTGTCAAAGCATCAGTTATTGCCAGGGCCGTCAAGATGGGATAAGTTGCCCCAGAACCTCGTGGTCAGGGGACCTCAAAAAGTAAAGAAGTTCATTTTAAATGGAATTGATTAAAAGTCCATAAGTAGCACGGTGGGATATTTTTAAGCGTCTATTCACACCCCATCTTTTTGGCGTATCAAACTGCCTATCTCCATCAAGTTTCATGCTGGTATCACAATCTAATGGTTAAATTGTGACAATTACTGCTAAGAGGTTTGGAATCTAGTATCCCAGTCTATAAATAGCACAAGGGAAATTTTTCGGCGTCTATTCGCATCCTATCCTTTTCAGCGTATCAAACTGCTCATCTCTACAAAGTTCCATGCTGATGTCGCGATCTAAAAGTTAAATTATGACAATCACTCCTTAGAGGTCTGGGACCTGGTACCCCAGTCTATAAATAGCATAAGTGGTATTTTTCAGCGTCTATTCGCTTCCTAACTTTTTGGCGTATCAAACTGCCTTTTACTACCAAGTTCCAAGCTGGTATCGCGATCTAATGGCTAAATCATGTCAATTACTGCTTAGAGGTCTAGGACCTGGTACCCCAGTCTATAAATAGCACAAGGGGGATTTTTCAGGGTCAATTCATATCCTATCTTTTCGGCGTATCAAACTGCCTTTTACTACCAAGTTCCATGCTGGTATCGCGATCTAATGGCTAAATTATGTCAATTACTGCTTAGAGGTTTAGAACCTAGTACCCCACTCTATAAATAGCACAAGGGGGATTTTTCAGGGTCAATTCATATCCTATCTTTTTCAGCGTATCAAACTGCCTATTACTACCAAGTTCCAAGCTGGTATCGCGATCTAATGGCTAAATCATGTCAATTACTGCTTAGAGGTCTAGGACCTGGTACCCCAGTCTATAAATAGCACAAGGGGGATTTTTCAGGGTCAATTCATATCCTATCTTTTCGGCGTATCAAACTGCCTTTTACTACCAAGTTCTATGCTGGTATCGCGATCTAATGGCTAAATTATGTCAATTACTGCTTAGAGGTTTGGAACCTAGTACCCCACTCTATAAATAGCACAAGGGGGATTTTTCAGGGTCAATTCATATCCTATCTTTTTCAGCGTATCAAACTGCCTATTACTACCACGTTCCATGCTGGTTTCGCGATCTAATGGCTAAATTATGTCAATTACTGCTTAGAGGTTTGGAACCTAGTACCCCACTCTATAAATAGCACAAGGGGATATTTGTCAGCGTCTATTCACACCCCATCTTTTTCGGCGTATTAAACTGCCTATCTCTATCAAGTTTCATGCTTGTGTCATGTTTTACACAATTTGTAACTTTTTATCTTCTTACAGCCCTCACTATGGCTGAATTAACTATATAAATCTGAATGCGTCACTCGCCCCAGCCTCTTTTCGCACGACCTACTCGCAAAAGAGCCCCTGAAACCCCTATTTGTGGGCTCCAAATTAAAAAACTAAACTTTTTTTCGAAATCAGCGATGATTAGTCTACCAGAATCAACAATAAAAAAAATTTCATTTTTTTCAATTCAGTGGCACTTTAAGGGTAGCATAGTTTGGCTTTCCGACCGACAAATAGCTGCAAAAAGTGAAAATGAATTATAATCAAAATCAGAGGTTCGAAAGGGTCAGGACGTAACTGCCGTTCCCTTTTATAAATTGCTTTTTATAGATTGAGTTTAAAAACACTTTAAAAAAAGATAAATTTAGCCATTTTTAGCAGTAGCTTTTTTCCTAGCCCATTATGAATAAATTGTAAACAGCAACTTATTTTTGCTGTACCCCCACAGAATCTAAACATTACATAAAGCTGCTTTTGTTGACTAATTTCGATACAAGGTTCATTGACACGCTGTGGCCCTGCTGTACGAATAATTTCGAGGGGGCAGTGCAATGAATTTAAAGGTTGAAAATCTAATGATAATTCAAAATGGAACTAATAACAGTAAGAATATGTTTGCGATTCTCTAAAATGTTCTTAAAGGAAGGTAAAAGATGGAAAAACTTGGCCCAGCGGCTAGTATCATTGCAGAACTTCATTCCGAGGCATCGGTAGTCAACTTTTGTCGAAAACTGGCTTATTTCAAAGTAAAATGTGGATCTCATGTGTTAGTCCCCTATGGTCCTAACTGTTTCAGCTCACAAAAAGTTCTCTCTATGACATAAAGATGCTTCTCTTTGGTAAAACAATCCTATGACAGTTATCAGTACCACTTCGTGTAGAGAAATGGACAGTTAAAACTTGCTCCTTCAAGTACGATCACCAGGCATCGAACAAGCAACAACAGACCATATAAAAGCAATATTAAAAAATTCTTACAGTCTTATATTGCATATGATAGTAATCTTGTGTCACCTTTTACATCCAGTAGCCTGTCACTGCAGCCCGTTGATTTCGCCTCATTGCTTTCTCTTAGACCAGCTGTACTCTGAACTTTTCCACCTGCTACCAACGAGCTATCCGATACCTTTTGAATAAACTCGACCGAGCTACCAGATGAGCTATCGTCTTTGCTAGGTGACAATCGATTCGAAGTCGAAGGTGAAAGCCCAGTCTCGCTTCCATCTACTTCATCACCCTCGTTCGACCAAGAAAGAGATCCCTCAGAAACCTCTCTCTGATATTCGATCTCCTTGGCAGAGTTCGAGCGACCACTATCGACATCCTCTGTTTTTTTCGGCGATAAAACTTCGAAACTGGGGTCATCGTTCGTTTCTGCGACACTGCCTTTCGTGGGTACATCCTCATTTAATTTTTCGGTTTTTTCACTAGGATCATTTTCAATTTTTACAGTTTGTTCTGTAAGTTTCGTTTCTGCATGAACCTGCGCTTGCACGGCAACTATGGCAGCCTTTGAACCAGTCTCAGTTTCAACAATGTCTGCAAGAAAGAGAGGCGATCATGGGCTTGTGACGCAGCATAAACAGCGATTTATTTTTTGAAGTCACAAATAACAGCTAAATATGTTCAAATCCTATTGTCGTTACTACGTGTTTCACATAGACAGTCCTTATTAGAAGGATGCTCAAACAATCCAAAAGTAGAAAGGGGGGGGGGCGGATCGAAAGTTTTCTAACAACTTTTGACAAAGTTATTCGAGAGGAAACAAACTGCATAGAAAATCTAATGTTGGTTGAAAGGTTCGACTAGTAAAGGAAAATATACATTAACAACTGCTAAAAAGAAATCAGCTTTTTAAATGTCTTGGGTCTTTCGGCAGTTCAAGGTGTGTTTAACTGCGTCAAAGACTCGTAGCGAGGATTATATGGAAGGTGAAAACTTCCTTGCAGGAAAAAAGAAGACAATCCTGCTCACAGATATGTTCCATGCTATTTTATCACTTAAGCTAGTTAACGGTATTGAATACAAGTTGGGCGCCAATTGTCCAAGACAACCTCCAGCTAGGTAGAGGAACGTCCAAACAAACTAACCAGACTTTGTTTTACCTTTAAAATGGCAGAAAGTATATCTCTCATTGGGCAGTCTTGGAAATTTATGGGAAGAGGCAGATCGAAATGCTCGAAATGCACTTCCTTTAGCTATGGAGAATTAGTTCTTAAACTAACTCCGGAAACGTTTGCAAATGAATATGCAGGGCGAAACACGTTATGCCAGTTAAACAACTGTGTTGGAGTACATTAGTTAGGCTCAATTTGGATTTTAATTATTATTATGCCAGGTATTATTTCCACTTTGTCTACTCCTAAATGGCTGCTACTTGCAAAAACGTTTGAACAGAGCAAAAACGAGCAGATCATTTACAGCTGTGTAAGCTAACGAAACTTTGAAAGAACTTACCATCTCCATCGTCACTGTCCCACTTGTATTCCTCTTCGTGTATACTCGAGGTTTCTGCGCGGGCAACCAACGCAGCCCTTCGTTCCTCTTTCTGGTATAAGAAAGCAACACTAGTTTCAGGCGCGCACTGATAAAACAGGACTCGTTTATAAGCGACCAGTTGTTGGAAAAAGGAATAAAAAGTAGTTTCAAGTACATCATTTTGTAAACTTGATTGTTGGCTTAGCTTGGCCAATGAGTCAAATATTGAGAGTCTTTCTAAATGGAAGATCTGAGAACATGCTTGGACAGATGTTGCAACTCATTTGAAAGACCTCTTTTATAAACATTCAAAGCAATGTCTATCTGGTCTAGAGTTGTCTGGCTTCGATATATCAATCTTTGCCGTTCGAATCCAAACAGGCATGCTAGATGTAATAGTTTTTGGCTTCCTTTTCATTGGCAAATGGCAGCATCACAACACGGTATTTTGCATGTCGTAAAACAAGTGCTACGGTTCTACTAACACGTGGTTTTAGGGCGAAATTAGCTTTAGATTAATCGACATGCACCAACTTAATTGCATTAATGAAAAGCCTTAAAAAAGGGCTAACTTTAATGCAATCGACATAGCTATACTTTAGTGACTCAGGCTATGTGTTAATCAACGATTGGCCAATCAACAAGCGTAATACCTCTCAGAAGGTTACTGATTGGTTGGTAATTTATTGATAAATGGCTTCAGCCCCTTTCGTATCTGTCGATTGCCTTCAAGCTTGCGTAACAATCATTTGATGTGTGAAGGCACATGACCATCGCAGCAGGGAAACCATAACACAATTAAAACAGGTCCTAAAGCTTCAGTTGTCGATTTCGTGTGAGTTCTCTTCCATTTATTATAAGGGTAGATTTTCTATCAATGTTGCCTTTGAAATTGAATAAGATATTCCTGTGTATCTAAGATTGCTGATCGAATAAAATGGAAAGCCAGTTGGAGCACAAGCAGTTAGAAAGGCAGAAAGCTGGTTATCTTTCCACGCTAGGCTGCTGGTAAAACAGAAAGATCTAAACAAACGTAGCCCCTAATTACAGGACCATCGCAGCCCCTAATTACAGATTTTCCTATATATATATAATCACACATTCCGTTGTATTTACAACATTGTGTACATCAAATAGTGAAAAAAGGTTAAAAGTTAGTTTCTCAGGCTTCGTATAAGGGAATAAAATTTCTTCTTTAAGATAAAATTGACTGGCTACACCAGTTTTTGGCTATAAAGAGGTCCTGAAAAAATGTGTTATACCCGAGAAAGAAATCAAAGTTTAAATAAAGAAAACAATTGAAATATTCAATTACCATTTCAAATTGGTGAATTTTGTAAAAATATCGCTTCCAGAAAACGCCATGAGAAACAGCCGAGGGAACCTATGACAAAATATCGTCATGATGAAATTCCAAATGAATAAAAAAAGATTTCTATGAGACACAATAAAATCAATCAAAGACTTTGGATTTATCGTATAGTCTCGTATCGTGAAGGCAAAATAAAAAAACCCACAGTACATATTTTGCTACAGAGGACTTAAACGGCTGAACAATGTCATTCGAGGCAGGTTTTACTAAGTCCGGTTTATCGCATTCGATTTAACAAATCAATCTTTCATCCAAATATATCAAAACTATCAAAATTTTCAGATCTTTCATTAGATCGAGCGATAGAGGTTCTTTGAATAGAGAGCAGCTGCTACAGACAAAATATTGACCAATCAAAAGACAGGGAATTGCTAAATCTAAAAGTATATCAGTGCAACATAACATCTCGGCATTTTAAAAGCCTTTTCTGAAAAGTTTTGGAGTAAGCCTTGTGGTAAAGACTTTGAACAAGCATCCTTCTTGTTAATAACAAGTCTCTTTTCGTCATAACTACATGGGCAATAAAAAACTACTTAAATTGCAAAATATTTGCATTGTACACGGCAGAAACGTATACAAATAAATGTATTCATTATATATCAGTACCTTAACAGAGAATGCACCTTCAGCTTGCGACAATAAATGCATTAAACAGTGCAGGGTTCTGAGGATTAAGGGTGTTTATGTCAATACCTCCTGGACTTTTCGAGCAAGTGTGTAGAGCCTGTTGTGAGCAGCTTGACTGTGCAATTATAATGGGGACACCCGAGCAATGATTGGGCTAATCTTCCCTTTTGAAAAGGAGCTTTACTAACTAAGCAAAAAGATGAACGCACCAACTTTGAATAAATCGCTCTTATCTCAGGGACTTTTACAAGCATATCAGACATCTCTCCTCTCTTTGAATCAAAATCAAACATCTGTTGCCAGTCAAGAAAATTGTCTTTTGGACCTGAGAAAATACCAAACATACATATTTACGACAAAATTCGACTGGGAAGCATGAAAATAAGTTTCAAATATTCAGAAAGCTAGCAATTGCAAAAAGCACGGCAAGTTCCTCTTCCTACGGGCCTAGCTACATAAAGGCAAGCTAAATACAGACATATAATGACAGCGAATGACCTTGATCTTGGGGCCTGCTTTTTGACAGACGTGCATTTAAGTGATACGTCCTGTCATCAAACCTACTGTTGCCTTTTACAGGTAACGATTGACCCGTTGCTAACTGCAAGTAACACAATGCATTGTGATTCGAGCAAATATAGAAATGGTGAGTTAAAAATAAGTAAGCCTTTTTAAACTTGCGACGTGAGAATCTGGGTAAGGAAAATGTGTAACTAATTCTAGACTAATCAAAAGGCAAAAACTAGAAATGCAAAGATAACCGACTCAAAGCAATTAGAACAGAGAAAAACAAGATGTGGGGTCACATATTGTCGAAACAAATTGTTTAAAGCAGGAGGTAAGGCTGACACTTCATTGACTGTTGTATGTATGTTCTGTTAGGTGTAAGATTTAGGGACAACAGATCCGTGTTATCTAATCGAAAGATTGAAATTCTAGCAAAGGAGGAGCACAAGTGCATAGCAGTTGAGGAACTCGCAAAAAGAAATTTGGTAGGATTAAAAATAAACAATCTTTTTGCGGTATAAAATATAGACATGGCAGTTTTCGATCGATGTTCTGACGCTTTATACTCTGAAGAGTGTCAGACGAAAAGCTTTAATATGTCTCAAAATGTTTGTTTTTTTTCAAAAACAAATAATAAAACGGCTCAAGACAAACAGCACGCACTGGGCAACAATAATTGTCATGTTTCTGACTAGCCTATATCGATCCACAATTTGGTATATTCATTTATGTTCTGACGTTCTATATTCTGCAGAACGTCCGTCGAAGAGCTTATCTGCGTTTTAAAACAATTGGGAAATAATAAAGCGGGAAAGAAAAAGAGCCACTAGTTTTGCAATTAACAATGCAAAAACTTCCTATAAAAGAAAATTAACTAACGTGTGAAACTGACTTTTAACTAGTAGCCAAGAACTTTTTCAGCTGAAGTCTGGTCTAATAAAATTCAACTTTACCAAACGCATCAAACTTAATCCGAGTAGTCAGTACAAAAAGACACATACCCTCCGGTTCGTTACAATATGTTCCTACTTCGGTCTGTATTTGCTGGATTTTGACCTGGAAATATGAAAACCGGTATTATTAAGGCATCTTACAAATGAGGCTGAAATGGCACAAAAACTCGACAAGCAACCCATGGTGTTAAATCGCTCAAAACGAGGACTTAAGAAAAACTGGCTGACGATAAAAACGATTTTGGAAAAACGGAGAATCTTTGCCATCATGACGTTTGCAACGAGCAGCTTTTTAGAGGATAGCAATTTTGTAAGGTCGTATTGGATAATTCTCAAGGAGACTAGCGTACAATAATACTTTAAAAATGCTGTTTAACCAATTGACCAAATTTAGATTTAATGAAAAAAACTGTAATACAATATTAATATTAGAGATTTTCGATTTCTTCTAGCGTTTGATCCATTTCAAACCCCCTTCAGTGGTCCTTTTCCCAAAAACCAAAACATCGCACCAAATCCACTCTGGCTCACATATCGGCCTAATGGTCCTTAAATGGACGTGATGAATTAATTAACATACACATGAGAAAACAATAGCTTTTTCTCGAGTGGCATACACAAAAATCCATCTGGTCTTAAATATATGCGAGAGGCAACCTACTCTTCGTCTGTCATAAACAGGGGATGATGCGGACACTTCCGCGTGATGATTGCCCGGAGATGGCGCTTCTTCCTGTGCAAGGGTTTTCAGGCTTTCAGACACTGATGACAAAATATTTGCAAATCCTGAAAAGTAAAATCCGCATGATTAGAGAAAATGATCACCAGAAGGACGATGTACTTTGTAAAAAGAAGGTTCTGATTACAGCTATAGTTTATGATAATTTATAAACAATTCTTCTTAGTCCATTAAAGCTGATACAATACAGCCCTGGGCAAACAACTGAATAAAGCTTGAACTGGCCATCCTTAGCACAACTCCACTGAGCAAGGTAGAATATGCATAAGAGAATAAATGAAACTGCTCAGAATATGACAAAATTTGAACAGAATTTATACTCATTCGAAATAAGAAGTAATTTGAGTGGAAGAAGGTTGTGCTTGATACTTCTGAATGATGTTTCTCATTTCTCTTTTGAATGATGACAAAGTTTACTTAACAGAATAGAAAAGAATTGGGTGAGGGGGGTGGGGGGTGGTATGCATTATACCTGGATGGTATTGCAAATAGTATGTTGGGGTACGGTATGTGCTACATAGTATGTTACGGTAGGGTATAGTTTGCTCTTGATATAGAATACAATAAATTTCATTAATCTTTTGAAGGATGGCAAAGTGTGCTAAATAGAATACAAAAATATATTGGGGGTTGATTGTATCATATATGAAGGGTATGGTATAGTATGGTGGGGTACTCTATGCTTTATATAGAAGGGTATGCTATTTATATAGAATACAAAAATGCTCATTATTTTTTTGGATGATGGCAAGTGCACTAAATAGAATACAAACAATTTGTTACGGCATGGTATGTGCTATATATTAAGGGTATTGAATAGTATGGTAGGGTATGGTATGCATCATAGAGTAGGGTATGGTAGGAAATGGATTAATATTTATATAGAACAAAATAAAGCTCATTATTGTTTTGTATGATGGCAAAATGTACTTAACAGAATACCTAAAACATGGACGGGTATAGTATGCATTGTATATGAATGGAATTGTTTAGTATGGTAGGGTACGGTATGCGTCATAGAGTAGGGTATGGTAGGAAATGGTTTGCTATTTATATAGAATACAATAAAGCTCATTATTATTTTGAATGAAGGCAAAATGTACTTAACAGAATACCTAAAACATGGACGGGTATAGTATGCATTGTATATGAATGGAATTGTTTAGTATGGTAGAGTACGGTATGCGTCATATGAGTAGGGTATGGTAGGAAATGGTTTGCTATTTATGTAGAATACAATGAAGCTCAATATTCTGTACCTTGTCTGAAAGCTGATTGACCTGGTGCTTCATCACCCTGATCATCTTTGCTGGTCTGTAAAGTAACAATGCATTTGAATTTTGGTCGGGAACATGGTTTGTAACTGTGCTTGAAATTATCATCAAAGAAACATTACACGAAGTAAAATAGCAATATCTTCAAAACTATTGGGTACTAGCTGCAACAAAAAAATCACCATTTTCATTTTATTGTGGTATCAAAAAGGTCTAGTTTTGCCACTTTGGTGCTTCTTAAACATTTGGGGACTTGAGAATGACACTAAGTACAGAAAGGTAACTGCTGCTAAACATGACAAGATCTGAAATTTTTCAATGCAGATGCCCTAAGCTGGAAGTAAAAATTAAATAGCTTTTTTGCAAATCTAGCCACTAATATTGACTGACAGATATTCAATCAGCAAGCATGGCACCACTTACAACATTACTAACTGGCCATTTTAGTGTCTCATAAAAACAGACCATTGATTAAATGATACAATGTGCAGTGATTGGAAAACAAACATTCGTAACAATAGCACTAGAAAGGCAAGAGACTTTGAGATCCTCTTTACAAAAGGATGTTAAATTGCTTAAAGTGTAAACATGACTATAGTGTGAAAGAACATTTGAATACCACATACTTGTATCTGGTCTTGAACCTTAGATGCAGCATCAACAACCACGTGAGCTGTATCTGTTTGGATGGTCTGGTAAAACTCTGACAAGTCTTTCTGCACCATTTCATAGGTAGATGATGTCTGCAAAGAAAACACATGGCTACAAGCTATAATTGGGAAAAGGCTGTACTTAAAATGCATAACTATGCAGCCAAGTGGGTTTGTGCATCTTTGTAGTGTCCTAAAGTAAACAGCAAATTATGAGCAACATTTCTATGATGTCAGCAAAAAATGCTTCTAGCTCTTCTACAATTTGCATCTTATAGTCTATGAATGGTATATGAAAATTAGTTAAAATTGTGTACAGGGTTTTCTGGCCCCTATGACACCTTTCAATCTATGCCACAGATTGTTTATCAGGCAAACTTGGATAGCAGAAAAATGCAAAGTTCAAAGAACGATTTTGGACTTGGATTTTTAGAGTGATAAACCATGTTATTAGGTCTCTGGTAGAGAGATCTGGGTATTTTTTCATGCACATTATCAGCTCAAACAAGTATTGTTTCACAGCATAAATTGGCATGCCACATCTTTTGTAAATTAACAAAGATGAATGCTCAATGCTTTCCCTAACTTTTAATGTTTTGTAAACAATCCTCCACAGTACAACTGTGTGATTCATCAAAGCTACATAAGTTCTGTTGAATGCTTCACTCAAAAAAGATACTTGCCTTTTCCTTCACTGTATCCACAATAGATTTGCTCCAAGATTGCCACCACGATCCACCTTCATCTTTCTCTGTATTCTCTTCAGCACTGGCAATGTAAAAAACAATTGAATTTTTAACTAAAAATATATATACATATCTTAATTTCAAGAACATAAGGTTTTGAAAGAAGTGCTTTTCAAGCAAAAACAAACTAGAAAAATCATCTAGAAAAATCTAGAACCTTGATCAAACAAGCAAGTTACAAGTTACAAGGTTTTTGGTATTTGGTGGTCAGACCCATCATTCTTATCTCTCTAAGCAACTCAGAGATTCCAAGTTCTGCCTGTTCAGAATATGCAATCAATGCAAGATCATTTACAAATGCTATCTCCAGTGGAACCTTGTTTCTATTATTTGTTGCTCCCATTACTGTTACACCAATGAACAGAAAAGGACTTAATATAAAACCCAAATTTCTCTAAACACCGATACTAAAGCATAAAAACGAAAATGCAAGCATAAAAACAAGGAAAAACAAGCTATTTATATGAAACTGTACTTTATATGAAACTGTACTTTTTGGCAAGTAATCCGCTTCTTGAACGAAGTTTGTGAGAGGCAACACGAGAATAGCATCAGAAATTAATTAACAACTCTTACCCTGTCTCTTTCGCAGCCATTTTTATCATCAATGTGGAAATATTCAGGATGATTTACTTCGGCCTACGTGGCCAATAATGCGTCATGACGCTATCATCTGCAGAGCGCCGATAAGCAACTGAACTCAGTGACCAATACAATCAGCCTTGTTGTAAAATGTCGGGTAGCAGTCAACTTTTCTGTAGATGAGAAGTATTTAGTCGATTTCCTTAGAAGTAGATCAATAATAAACCGGGAAGGCTCGCCAATCTAAACGTCCTCGAAAATTAACGACAACAACAATTTTTTGTCCAGCCTCCTTTTGGTAAATTCGACACTGAAGGCTCAGGAAGATCAGGACATTGACCCCGAAGAGTTTTATAACCCAAAAAATAATAAGCTTAACTCTAACTTCCGAGATTGAGAATAGGGCCACCGAGAGGAAGGAAGGGCAAACTGCCCCAGGGCCTCGAGAATTGAATATTAAGGAAACGCAACAAGTATGCCTAAAAAATTGTTGAACGTTGTAAGCGACTGTAAAAACATTCTGGAATGTGTTTCAACTTACTTGAAGGGTGAGAGCGAACAAATTTGCTGCTCGCTTCGCTCGCAGTGCATTGAAATGTTTGTTGTGTTGGTATCAATTGAACACAATCTTTTGATGATACAAAAATGGAAAAGAGCTTTGAAAAAAACAAACATTTGATTAAACCGTACATTGAAGGATAGAATAAAACAGCATGTCCCTTCTAGCATTAAAAACAAAACTCTTTCCCAAAGAGAACAGCCACCTCGGTCTTGCAGATCTAAAAGTGCGACTAAAACTAAAACATGCGATTCTGCTATCGGGCAGCATTTACTGGAAAACCCAGATTGTGCAAAAACTTTAATGGCGATATGTTTCGGATTATTGGTATAGCCCGATCGTCGTTCCATCTAGCAGTTTTGGAATCTATCTACATATGCACGAAAAAACCGCTATTTGGTAGAGAAAAGGAGTTCGTTTTCACCTCAGGACTCTATTGGTAACATTCTCTATAGGTAGCGGCACTTATTGGACAGCCTCAACAGTCACGTGCTCGCATTTCTGATTGGCCTATTTAGATCCACAACTAGGGTTCGTAATTGTTTTAAATACCGGGCCAGAAAAACATATATATATTCTTTTAGGGGGCCAGTTGCTTTCCAAGGCTGCTTGAAATAAAACTCAGAACTTATTTTCGCCAGGCTAAGTTAGTGGTAAGATAGACAGGCCTTTTATTCCGTGTCTATCTTATCTACCTTAGCATAAACCCAAAAAATTGTTTTCACAAAGGTTTGTAACTTTTTTTCTTGTACCGGGATGAGTCAGAAGATCCTTCCATGCTATTTTAGGCTAGAACGTTAATTTTTGTTAGTCTCTTGTTGAGCCGATTTGAAGCGCCTGAAGTCAGGTCGAGGGACTGCAAAGCGTATTTTAAAGAACGGCCAAAGTCTTATGTTAGTCGATGTATTGAGTCAAGGCCGCCACCATGGTGGGGGGGGGGGGGCAAGAAAAAACTTTAGATTATATAAATCTTGGAATGGCCAAAAATGTCAGGACCGAAAAAATAAACCAAAGAGAAATCGAATTCCAAATTTTGAAAATGTTGACAAAAAATATTTTCGAGGTAAAGAGCATTGGGCGGATCGGTGTTTAAGAATGGCTGGTATATATGTTTCCTTACGTAAAGTTTTCGATCTATGTTCTGACTTTAACTCTGAAAAGTGTCAGACAAAGGATGATGACCGATAATAAGCTGAAAATTTATATCCAAATGTGGATCGAAAGTAACGTAAGAAGAAGAAAGATGCGTTGCTTGGCTCTTCTGTTTACTATCAACCAGCAACCGCTAGCCTTAGGGGCTGAATAATACAATACTTGATTCACGGATTATCATCAACTTTTTACTCTCTGCACTGGTTGAAATTTCTTTGTATTTGGTAGGCACTTAATGAAACCTGATAATAGAAAGCTTCTAGAAATTTCGTTGTAATGTAGCCAAGAGAGTTGTAATGGGGAGTAAAATCGTCAACCCATTAAATAATCGGTTATTAGATAAATAATTAAAAAAGACCCCTATTATTGCTATTAAGACTCTCTTCTTATAACAAACATTTCCTTTAGGTATAAACAAAAGTTCTTCATTTTCAACTCAGTAAAAGTTATTCACAAAGAAAATACGTAATGCAGAATGCAGCCACTTTTATGCGCACCACTCATTCCCTGATCATGTTTTTGTAAATGAAACTGATTTAGACTATAAAAGGCTAGAGCTCTGTTTTTAACTTGACCAACATCTTGAATGGAATTTCTACACGTTAAACGTTTCTCAAATATCCAATGATAAAGCCGAACTTTCCAACAGGAAATTGGGTAGGGACCATGCGTCATGCCTCATAACTTCCCTCACAAGATACCAACCGTTTTCTATCATGAATATAGCCAGCTTTTCAATGACGACTCAGCTAAGCATTTATTGGTACGATCCAAGCCTTCGGCATTTCTTGGAAATTTGTTACATACTAACTTTCCTCAACCAAAAGTCTTGCTTCCAATACTGATGCTGTGCATCTATAGGCAGCATCGTAAAGCACAAATCCCTAATTAATAAAGATATATTTATATCAAGTCAATTAATTGCTACATACAGTTAGTGATCAAAAGTATTGCACAGGTTTGACAAATCAGTAATAGCGGCCGCCTTTTAACAACAAATCGATTGAAATCCAAACCACTTTTGTGAAGCTATTAGGCGTCTTTTTATAGTTAAAAACCAATCAAACCAAGCTTAAAACCATTGGCATCACTTTTAATTTAAAGGTTGAGAAAAGTTACTTTTTTAAAAGTAAAAAATTTCAACTTTTTATTGGACAGTCGGGCAGCTTTGAAACCGTTGTGAAACATACTAAAAGCTTGTAAATAAGTTTTGTAACAGGTTCTACTAATCGCGAAATGATAGGTTCAGAAAAACATCTGCAAGATCACATTTAGATGTTGGAGAACCAAGTTGATCATAAATGGCCTTTTTTGGTGGAAAGTGGCACATTTAAGCTGTTTTATTACGCCAACTCCTTTAGAGCTATTGAGGCATTTCAGTAAACCTGTTTATCGCAGGAATTTTGATATTTTAAATTAATGAGAGGACGGAATTTTGTATTACGCAATTCGCAGCAGTATTTGTTCCCATTACTACATCGCAATCGGTTACAAAAGATAGACTAGACGATTTGTGATAAATTTTATTGACTGAATTCTGCTGCAACATATCACGAAGCGGCAGCTGTCATTAGGTCCCTTGGAGCTCCAAAACTTTCCGACCAAAAACTTTAGCACATTCTCTGACAAAAATGAGGAAAACGAACAGTTCTAGACACCAAAGCATAAAGTAAGTACCCCCGAAGTCATTGTAAAAAAATATCGCAAATTGGTGCAAAGATCAATTTTGTTATTACATTTTGTTCCACCATGGCTCAATTATTGTGTTTTTGTGACGATGTTGTATATAAATAGGCAAAAATCAAGAATAATTTTGCATTTACTTTTTTCAGCATCAAACCTTAATACATTTTGCAATATATTCCAACTAAAAATTCATCTTATTACTTTCATGAAACTTGCTATGGCTAAAATTCAAATGAATTGTGGTTCGCTAAAGATTTTGCTGCAGTGCCGCCATATCTGCTTCAGCCTGTGCAATACTTTTGCTCACTAAGTGTATAAAACAAAATTTTGCAAAATAATTTTTTCACTCAAAACGACATGACATAATTGAAAATATGTTTAGAAAACTACTACAAATATTTTCGATGAATTTCTAGCTCATATTTGGAAAAAAAGGAATTGAGTCAAATTTCAAACAATTTTTGAACAAGAACATGTTGAAAAAAACTTCGTGGGGATTAAGATTAAATTCAGGTCCGTAGCTCTCACAAAAGAACTTAGTCATTTTCAAAAAAAACTGTTACCAAAGATATGAGAAAAATTCTAAAAAATTGTCAAGTTTTGCAAAAAAAAATTTTCGTACAAAAGAATATAGAATGCCTTAATTTACGTCCACAACACCACAGAACTGAGAATCTTTCAGAAAAGAACTTAGTCATTTTTAAAGAAAATCCATGATCCCGGATATGGAAAAAAAACTCAAAAAATGAGAAAACTGTACATAATTTTTTTTTGGCTCGAAAGAACCTAAAAAGGTTTAAAATACACCCGCAACACCGTTTGTCGAGTTTCCGATGAGTTTCGGGCCCGTAACTCTGAAAAAAGAACTTAGTCATTTTTAAAAAAATCCATGATCCCGGATATGCAGAAAAACTCAAAAAATGAGAAAATTGTACAAAATTTTTTTTTGGCTCGAAAGAACCTAAAAAGGTTTAAAATACACCCGCAACACCGCTTGTCGAGTTTCCGATGAATTTCGGGCCCATAACTCTGAAAAAAGAACTAAGTCATTTTCAAAAAATCCATGATCCCGGATATGCAAAAAAACTCAAAAAATGAGAAAATTATACAAAATTTTTTTTGGCTCAAAACAACCTAAAAAGGTTTAAAATACACCCGCAACACCGTTTGTCGAGTTTCCGATGAATCTCAGGCCCGTAACTCTCAAAAAGAACTTAGTCATTTTTAAAAAAATCCATGATCCCGATATGGAAAAAAACTGAAAAAATGAGAAAATTATACAAAATTTTTTTTTGGCTCGAAACAACCTAAAAAAGTTGAAAATACGCCCGCAACACCATTTGTGGATTTTCCGATGAATTTCAAGCCCGTAACTCTGAAAAAAGAACTTAATCATTTTTAAAAAAATCATGATCCCGGATATGCAAAAAAACTCAAAAAATGAGAAAATTATACAAAATTTTTTTTGGCTCGAAACAACCTAAAAAGGTTTAAAATACACCCGCAACACCGTTTGTCGAGTTTCCGATGAATTTCAGGCCCGTAACTCTCAAAAAAGAACTTAGTCATTTTTAAAAAAATCCATGACCCCGGATATGCAAAAAAACTCAAAAAATGAGAAAATTATACAAAAATTTTTTTTCTCGAAAGAACCTAAAAAGGTTTAAAATACACCCGCAACACCATTTGTGGAGTTCCCGGTGAATTTCAGACCCGTAACTCTCAAAAAAGAACTTAGTCATTTTTAAAAATATCCATGACCCCGGATATGCCAAAAAACTCAAAAAATGAGAAAATTTTACAAAATTTTTTTTGGCTCAAAACAACCTAAAAAGGTTTAAAATACACCCGCAACACCGTTTGTCGAGTTTCCGATGAATTTCAGGCCCGTAACTCTCAAAAAAGAACTTAGTCATTTTCAAAAAAATCCATGATCCCGGATATGCAAAAAAACTCAAAAAATGAGAAAATTATACAAAATTTTTTTTGGCTCGAAACAACCTAAAAAGGTTTGAAATACACCCGCAACACCGTTTGTCGAGTTTCCGATGAATTTCAGGCCCGTAACTCTCAAAAAAGAACTTAGTCATTTTCAAAAAAATCCATGATCCCGGATATGCAAAAAAACTCAAAAAATGAGAAAATTATACAAAATTTTTTTTTGGCTCGAAACAACCTAAAAAGGTTTAAAATACACCCGCAACACCGTTTGTCGAGTTTCCGATGAATTTCAGGCCCGTAACTCTCAAAAAAGAACTTAGTCATTTTTAAAAAAATCCATGATCCCGGATATGCAAAAAAACTCAAAAAATGAGAAAATTATACAAAATTTTTTTTTGGCTCGAAACAACCTAAAAAGGTTTAAAATACACCCGCAACACCGTTTGTCGAGTTTCCGATGAATTTCAGGCCCGTAACTCTCAAAAAAGAACTTAGTCATTTTTAAAAAAATCCATGATCCCGGATATGCAAAAAAACTCAAAAAATGAGAAAATTATAGAAAATTTTTTTTGGCTCGAAACAACCTAAAAAGGTTTAAAATACACCCGCAACACCGCTTGTCGAGTTTCCGATGAATTTCAGGCCCGTAACTCTCAAAAAAGAACTTAGTCATTTTCAAAAAAATCCATGATCCCGGATATGCAAAAAAACTCAAAAAATGAGAAAATTATACAAAATTTTTTTTTGGCTCGAAACAACCTAAAAAGATTGAAAATACACCCGCAACACCGCTTGTCGAGTTTCCGATGAATCTCAGGCCCGTAACTCTCAAAAAAGAACTTAGTCATTTTTAAAAAAATCCATGATCCCGGATATGCAAAAAAACTCAAAAAATGAGAAAATTATACAAAATTTTTTTTTGGCTCGAAACAACCTAAAAAAGTTGAAAATACACCCGCAACACCATTTGTGGAGTTTCCGATGAATTTCAGGCCCGTAACTCTCAAAAAAGAACTTAGTCATTTTAAAAAAATCCATGATCCCGGATATGCAAAAAAACTCAA